AAACAACAAAATCATGTGACGACCGTTTCAGCTATTGCGAATAGATACGATAAATTGTCGCTGGTAATTTCGGAAATGACATCGACTTGCATCCTTGTGGTCCATCAACTCCATTTCCCAGGGTGAAAAAAGCCAATATGTCATTACAATGCAGCAGTTGGCATCAAAATAAACCTTGACGGAGACACTTGAGAATGCAGCATCTTGACAGCAAAGATACAGAACAATCAAAAATTATCCATGCAGCGATTTCTCATTAATCTCTGCTCGACTGCTACGGATAAATCCTGCCTAGCACATACAACACGACCATTACCACATAAAGTTTTTGCTGCATTATCTTGTCACAAGATACAGTCATCAAGTCCAGTCCAACTGGTAAAATAAACTGCATCGCCTCGCCGTGGAAAGCGCGAAAAAGAAGCTGGGCGTCGCGTCGTGCAGCCACAAAGCGTCGATCAATGTGTCTAACCAGCACAGTGCTTTGGTCGATAAAGATTGAAGCATATTATATCTGCGTGATGAACTCAAACCTATAATGGAAAGGGGTAGCAAACGCCCACCCAACCCTGGATATGCATGTTGTCCTATGCAGAAATACTCCAGATACTTTTTTGCCGTATCGACAACTACGAAAATTTTCAATTCGAAAATGTGCATGAGTAAGCAGAGATTTTCAAGTATACTGTGAACACTGTCAAATTCACAAGTACTGTGCACCGAACGACATGCTTCCTCCGTGGGAAAAATGAATACACGTCATTCAAATCACAGCCTTAGCGCTGTAAATTAATGCGTTAGGTCAAGACGTATACGACTTTGCAAGCAAGTCGATACCTCATCACCGAGCGTGCGTTCCAAAATACAAGCCGATGCAACCCAGGGAGCAGACCCCCACGTGACGTGTCTGCCTACAAACTAACCGTAATCTGTCGTGCATGCCACTGTAATTCCCACTTCAAGTAATCGTTCAGTGAACTGACTCCTCCACTGTTTACCACTCCCCCGACTGACAAGTATTTGCAGTACATTTGCACATCAAGTTCAAGAAATTTGCCCTACACTGATATCCAGTTCTACTTGCATTGACCGATCATTGACCTTGTAAGGGATGATTGGTAGTAGCGCATAAAAAAGGTTGTGTTGAATCGGATGAGTGAAATGGAAGATAAGTGGACTGCGCTATTTCGACTAACAACGGGTACAGTTTCCATCATAGAACATGAAACGTTATTTTGCATACAAAACGTAAGTCCAAAGCAAAAGTACATGTCTGAAAACAAAGGACTGACTAGTAGTTACAAAGCTCATGAAAAACTAGTGGATTAGTCACTAGCATTCGATGTTACTTCCTTTTTAATAACAGTCGGCAGTTAATCTTTGCTCGACTCGTGCGAATCAGCTCAAGAAAGAGTCTTATTAAGCTCTATAGGTTGAGGTTTCTAAAGTGTCCTTTGGCCGCAGATACGTGGTGGATGAAGAGACAATATCAGGACAGGATTATGAAGGCATTGAATAGACCAAAACAGCACGATTTCTGATGGATGAATGAAATTGCTGGTTCATGTGCTTGAAGTTTGGATTGTAGTGGTAGCAATGATACCATCACTTGGGCTAGTTCAACCGACACAAGTCATTGAATGGTATCTTCAGTAGGACAACAGTTCGTTGACTTTCTTGCCTTTGGAGCCCATTAGTTTTACAGGACTGAACTGACATACCAGACTGTGTGTATGGCATGCAGTTTATTTTACCAGTTGGACTTGACTTGATGACTGTATCTTGTGACAAGATAATGCAGCAAGCCTTTATGTGGTAATGGTCGTGTTGTATGTGCTAGGCAGGATTTATCCGTAGCAGTCGAGCAGAGATTAATAGAAATCGCTGCATGGATCAGTCGACATTGTTCGTATCTTTGCTGTCAAGATGCTGCATTCTCAAGTGTCTCCGTCAAGGTTTATTTTGATGCCAACTGTCTGCATTGTAATGACATATTTAGCTCTTTTCACCCTGGGAAATGGAGTTGATGGACCACAAGGATGCAAGTCGATGTCATTTCCGAAATTACCAGCGACAATTTACTGTATCTATTCGCAATAGCTGAAACGGTCGTCACATGATTTTGTTGTTTGTTGGAGTCTTCACTACGGGCTATGCAAAAAATCAGTATTTATCCGAGACACAGGAAAACGGAGGTGCGATCTTGGACAGTCTTTTAGCATTATTTACTTATGCTCATACGTATGCGTCTGCTTTACTGACATGCCACCCTTGGTGTGTACTTTGTCCAGGATCGGACGGCACCTCACATAGGGCATGCGTTGGTAAATGACGATTGTGTCTGTGGCTCAACTGACAAAAGCCCGTGTACCTGCCGACTTTTGAACAACACAAATACAAAGTGAAGCGACCATATTGTTATTTTTCAGCTTAATATTACGACCATCTCTCCATATGAAAGTGTCGACTAGTTCACAAAATAAGGAGGCATTCATCAGTCTTTGATGTTGTTAATCTAACTCGGATCGAAAATGATATTCTAGTAGCTCCTTTAACGAATAGCTGTAATATTCTTGTACATCATGAAGCGTTTGATTAAAGCAGCAACGCTCGTTTACGGTGGATACATGTGCAACCGTTTCCGTGAAGTACTTTCGACGTTATTTTTGGTTTCATCAGATTAACTTCAGAGTTCACGCGGACTCCTCGTACGAGTGATAACCGCAAGTTCTTGTGACACAGGCCAATCTCATTGTAAATACTTGCGGTGTAGTTACAATAGTGAGCGCTTAGCGTTTTGTGGTTTTGTAAGATAGAAGCCGCGTTGCATTTTACGTTCCAACGTGCCTGCCATTATACCTTCATATGTGCGAACAGATAATGAACTTGTATGAAGCACGAGATATACAAAGCAGAACATTTTCACATGTGCATCGTTTTCGGTCAGTACAGGTAGTCCAAGCAATCTTGTATCGAAAATCGATCTCCAGTCGATTTGTGACTGCGACACAAGTGTGATCATCTTGTCACCGTAACAGCGGGATGTAATGAGAAATGATGCTTTACCTGATCCGTTATAGTTCAGTATCGTAGAAGCATGATCTGACAAAAACTGTCATCAGGTTTTCGTTTGTTTAAAGATGGCTGTGATAACAAAACGAGCTCTTAGGCGCTTCGTAAAAAAATACCAGCTATATGTCCAAGTATGTATCATGAAATGTACCGACCAACGCGAATATTCTTTTCTAACGTTTTCCTCTGTTTGAGAGTGACATAGGAGGCTTGAGTACTTCAATTCGACCCGAATCGTTTGTTCTTCGGTAACAATATGCTAAAAAGATAAGAGGTTCGTGATCAAAGAACAGACCTACAGCTGTGCTAGCTTGCACTATCATGTCAATGACAGCAAAACGCTTCGTGAGCGCAATATCTTGGAGGTAGTGCATCAATTCACAAAGTATCTTAACTCTGTTAATTGAATCGCGCAAATGACAGATCGCTTAAGTTGTCGTAGATCTGAATGTACTTTTTCTCTAGCTTAGTGGTCGATTTGAAAATTGCTGCGATCGTAGACATTTTCTTAGCACAAACGTCTGCCTCAGAAGTATAGTTTACTTGTTACAAAGGTGCTTGTGCGAGCACCAAAGACGTTGGTAACAGGCTATTGCATTGTGAATCTTAACATAGACAAATACACCACAAAGTCACATGAAACAGGAAGAGCCACAACGGGCTGAATCTGTATTGAAAGAATTGTCAATTCCTGGTTCAAGGGAGCTGCACGTAGTTGATAGTACCTGGACCACCACCGGTGTCGACGCTAAATGAGCCGCACAAGTTGTTCGTGATGTTGACGTAGACATCGCACTGCGTCTCTGGCTTGATGGCTACAACATACTCGGTGTTCTCGAACGCTCGCAGCAGACCCTTGCCAATCTGTGGGACGTACACGCTCAAATCATCAACTGTCAGCGTGAATGAAACTTCCATGGACTCGCCGGCCTGCAACTCAATCTTCTTGAATTTCTTCAGTTTCTTTACTTCGGGAACCGAGATTAAGCGATACGGCTGAATCACAAACAGCATGACTGTCTCCTTGCCGGCACGAGCACCCACATTGGTGACGGTCACCGTTGCAGTGACTGTACCAGCCGCATGGGTAATATTGGTGGTATCCAGGGTTACAGCGGAGTAATTGAACTGCGTGTAGCTGAGACCCGTCCCAAAATTCCATTGCATCTCGCAGTTGTCATAGGCACAACGAGTCGAGACACGGTGGTTATATGGAATGGCAATGTTTGCAGGGTCCTTCGGGTACGTGATTGGCATTCTGCCGCTCGGGTTTACATCACCGTAGAGAATCTCAGCCATCGCCTGACCAGCGGTTTCGCAGGACAGCAAGCCGTTAATGATGGCCATTGAGTGATCAGGGATCGATCCAAGCAGACGCGGACGGCCTTGGAACAAAACGACAATTACCTTCGTGCCGGTTTCAGAAAAAGCTTTAACGTAGTTTATCTGACCTTCAGGCAGCGCCAAGTTGTTAAGGTCTCCGGGCTTTTCAGCGTAAGGTAATTCACCGATAACAACAATCGTGTACTGATGCTGTTTGGCAAGCTCTACGGCTCTCTCCAGAGCTCCGTCCGGCAGCGAGCCGTTCGCAAAAATTTCGTTATGGTAAGTTAGGGAGCTGTTGCCAACCATGGTTTCCAAACCCTGGCGAACACTGACACCGTTAGGAAACACCTTGTTACTGGAATATCCTTGCCAACTCTTTGTCCATCCACCGCACTGGTTACCAATATTGTCAGCAGAGTGGCCAGTAAGGAAGATGGAAGCATCTTTAGCCAGCGGGAGAACATTCTCATCATTCTGCAAGAGGACGATGGATTCGCGAGCCATGTTCAGTGCAACATTTCTATCATCGTTATTGCCCACCTTTGAGACGAGGTCCATACCAGGAACAGGGTTTTCATACAACCCGAGTTTCAACTTCGTCTTCACAATACGCTTAGCCGATTCACGCAAACGAGGTTCAAGGTCAGGATTCTTCTTCAGAATACTCAGAACAAATTCGATAAAGGCTGTATCCAACGCCACCATGCTCATGTCAAGCGATGTCTGATTCAACGTCATGGCCACAGCATTCTCAAAGTCGTTAGTGGTCCGATGCCAAAAATTCTGGCTGTAAATCTCGCCGTAATCAGAAACGAGCAGACCAGTAAATTTAAGGTCATTTCGAAGCAAGTCCTTCAGTATGCGAGAGTTTGCAATCACTGGGTTACCGTTGATTGAAATGTAGTTTTCCATCACTGACAAGGCACCAGCATCTATGGCTGCCTTGAACGGAGGCATGAAGTAGTTGAGAAGATCAAAGTCGCCTATGTTGACGTTTTGGCGATCATGACCCGTGGCGGTTTTGGAGTATGCGATGAAGTGTTTTATGCAGGCAGCGGTTTGATTGTTGCTTTGGAGCCCTCGCACGATAGCGTCTCCCATCACCGACGTCAAGTGGGGATCCTCACCAAACGTCTCGTAGTTACGAGCCCAAAGCGGATTTTGCGCGATGTCTAGAATTGGTGCAAAAATCCATGGAATTCCAGCAGCTAGGGTGTCCTGAGCTGTAATTTGTCCTACTTTGTAGACTAGGTCGGGGTTGAAACTCGCGCCATTGTTGATCTGTTGAGGAAAAAGGACAGCTCCTTCGACGTAGTTGGCACCGTGAACCGAGTCAAGAGCGTAGATCATAGGATTACCATCGTTCTCTTCCATAGTAATTTCTTGGATACGAGAGACGATGGCACGGAACTCGGAGGCGTTCCAGCCAACATACTCGTCTACATTTTCATCCCAAATAGTGTTGAAGTACGAGCCAACGAATTGCTTGGCATAGAAACGCACATATCCCTCGTTCAAGGTGTTATTTTCTGCATTGATGACGGTCGAAATATCAAGCTGCGTCATTTGACCGATTACTTGAGCCACGGTGAAATTATCGACAATAAATTGAGCCCTTGCATCCAGCGCTATCTCCTCAGGAGAAAGAGAAATACTTGTAGCCACGACTGTGCTGAGCGACAGAACAGCGGCTGCCGCGCGTAGAAACAGTTTGACCATTGCTTGTCGTTAGCGTTCGCGTTGAGACTATCTTTTCGGATGTAGTGCGGGGTGGTGCGAAGATTGAGAAGTGAGCTATGAATAACTTGTGCCTTGTCGGGAGGCGGGAACGCATGATGTCAATCGTACGTGGTCGATAGAATCCCATCCAATCTTGTAAAGCAAATACTCTGGATAGACTAGATCCCATCATGATAACATCATAGGAACTGCTCATGTCTAATCCTGCTGATCGTGGAATGGCACATAGCTGTTGCAATGCGGATAGGACCCTATCCAACGTGCTTTTCAGACCACAATCTAGCACATCATGTGCAATTACATCCTTAGGCAAGTGGGTTGCACAAAAAATTACAAAAAAGAAAGAGCTTAGTTCAAACAAATTAAATGCATTATCAATAGGCACAATACGTGTCTGAATATCCTGGTATGGTGGAATATGAAGCTGGTGCTTTATCTGACTATTTGACCCGTATCTTGCCTGTTTCTGCAAACCGCATAAATCGTCACGACGTCTATTTGTCGCTAGCTGTACGTATTGCATTAAGTAGGCAGTAGATGTGACATGTCATTAACAGCTGTTGAAACTGCTGTTATTTCAGATGCACCAAGCCATAAGTAACCCTCAGAATTAACATTAGAGATGCATTAGAATAAAATATTATTACAAAAGACAGGTTCCAAACTCTGTCTATCTGTACAGATCACAATCTGATTTCAAAATCGTCAGTACGCACGTGGTGTTGTTTAGGATACAGTATCGAAGCTCAGTACGCACGTGGTGAAGTCTGGGACAGTTTTCCCAGCTTGCTGCCTGAGCAATTCCTGGTCCTTTTTTGCCGTGCTGAGATCACTGATGGAGTCATCAACAACGGGATGGGCCGTGGCAGCAACATTTGGATGAGAAAGAACAAATTGTCACGTATGGTATCAATCTTGAACACCAAACAAAGCTGCTGTGCTACTTGTATTGTCTCTTTTCGAGTGAGGCAGTACACGATACCAGTATTACTTGGCGAAAAAGACTTGATAAGACGAACAAGGCAATCCATCGCTATAGCTTTTTTTTGCTGGTTTTACCAAAACCTGTGATCGTGACATGCAAAACCCATTTCTATATCGTTGACTCAATACTTTGCATGCATATTCCTCCCCACAGTGTACCTCATAGTGCAGGTTGTTTCGAAGAAAAGAGGTTCAAAATGATACACAACTTTGAATTCCGAGAATGGCCTTAGCATCCATCGCTCAGCGTGGCGTTGCTGTAGCTGTAAGTGCCAACACGGGAACTGTGGGAAACTGTCGCTTTAAGATTTCCAGCTTTGAGTAATCCTGCATAATAATCATTTCAAGTCGGTTGTATGAGCGCCGTTTACTTCATTAAGCACTAAGCGAACCACACCTTACACTTCGGAAGTCGTGCCCCCACTGACTACGCAGTGGGCTTTGTCAATGACAAATCGCTTCAGTCACCCAGTCTGGTACGCCTTCTCAAACCCCGACATGAGGAGCTTGCTTTTGATGAGCTTTTCAGGAGTAATTAACAAAATCCTTAGCTTGCTATCCACAGTCAACAAAAGCTTATAAATGGCAGATGCTTCTGCACGTGACTGCTCGCCGGACAACTGACACGCTGCACCTTCTCCAGCAATATCATTAAACAGCATCACCTACAAATACATATTAATATTATCGCGTCATTAGGAGTACAAAAGAAACGCTAAATTGCTCGGTATGATACCATACTTGGTCCTGGATGAGCGAGATTAGCGGCGAGATGACAACCGTAAAACCAATATTCTACAACGTCACCAGAACAAATACACCTATTCTTTACGCTATCTGGATAGCAACATAACCTTATAACAAAACTATACCCCATGAAGCAGTGCAGGAAACTGATAACAAAGGCTCTTGCCACAACAAGATCTCATGACTACAAACACGTCTCTATTTGACAGCGCTGCATTGATGACCTCTTGCTGGACGGATCGGAAACCAGGCAAGTGAAACTATCGAGTATCATCTGTTAGTTAGCATGACATAACATTTCTCTAGAATACAATAAATATCGTTCCTACAGTGTCCGTAAGCAACGTATCGACGTGGTCCGACCACTGAAACTGCGTCTTCCAGTCTGGCGCAGCTTTTCCAGCATTTTTTGCGGCATTCTTCTTGCCTTCAATCTGCTCACACTCTAACTTCTCTTAAAGCTCCTTTATGTTGAGCCTTCTTGCTAATAATTTACGTTGGTGCAGCACCAACATAGTCAAATCCTCCTCCACCCTTGCAACAACTCCTGCTCAACTTGCGCCAACTCCAACTTATGTTCGATCATGGGGAAGAAAAAGAAGGAGAGTGATGGTAGGTCCGTTGCACAAAGAGGGGTTCGTTTCCCTCTTAAATCGCAACCGACCATTGCGCATTGCAAGATCAAGTCAAAAAAATCTGGAAAACAAAGTATAAAGCGACGTCAGGCGCTACGCAGAGACGAGAAGAAAAATGTCGTTGCTCAAGACTTCGATGGTAGGAATTGTATAGTAATGAATAAATTGTATTCTACTGAAAGGTGTAGAAGCAATAATGCATGTTTCTAGCGTCTACTCGCTGAAAATCCTTATTTCTCGGCTGACCTTGTGCAGGTAAATTTCGAGAGCGAATGGAAAGAAATGCAGCCATCGCTGGCATCATTGGTCACGGGAATGCCACAGACACTGACGAATGAAAAGTGGCTCAAGATGTACTCGTATGTAACATGACGTGATCCTACATTGATGCTAACGTCAAAAGTGCATACGTTTTGGTACTAAATATATATATATATATCTTGTCAAAATCTATGACAGTGGCATTTACAAAATCTGTACAAATCCTGGAGCTCCACAAGCAGAAATGTTATTTTTTCGATTGCGAGAGATGCTGATACATCATGTCGAATCAATCTTGAAGGAGCTGGAATCAATTGATGGCGAATCCGAGTTCCTGCATCACTACTGCTCATCATTTGAGTCGTTTGCAACAGGAACAAACTACATTTCAGAGCTTTTTCGCTATCTGGTTGGTTATTACGTTGAACAAATCATTTTTCTGGTTTTTCTTCTTCTTTTCTAAATTTGGTGTGAGATAGAATCGCTATTGGATCTCGTATTCCCACTGTGAGACTGGACACGCTCCTGTTCCAGGAGTGTATCCTATCACGGAAGTAAGTATGTCGTTGCGTGTGGTAATTCATTGCCTAAAGATGTTGATTTCTGCTTGCGTAAAACAGCTTTCGCTTCATATTTGGCACGACATTGCATTTTCTGAACTCAAGAAGCGCCTCGTGAAAGCAATTATTCATATCTTTCATGCGGCACGACGTGGTGGAAGCGAATGTTTTGACGATGGTGACTGTGTTGCCAAAACGGTTCAGGTTTGTTTGTGGCTCTTTGACTTTGTACTGTGTACCAGCGTATCATTTGAGTTTGACTGAAGTGTTATTTTCTAGACATACTTTAGTATAGGCCTCTGCAAACAGGATCAGATGAGTCTTTATCGAGACGAATTGGAGCAGCCTTTTTAAAGGTACGACTTATATCTTCAAGAAATATAAGTGTATTCTTACAGAGAAAATTTTGCGTATAGGATACTGCTAGCTATTACTCAGTAAAGGCAATGGAGCTGTTGTCTCGGGTAACAATTTCAGAATACTTGCAAGATACCGAGCATTTTTGTGCCCAAGAGCAGAAGCGTTGTGAAGAAAGATTGCATCGGACGTATGTTGTGTTTGTTTGTCGTGCGGAAGCTCACTCACGGTAATTTAAAGCACTATGGTTCTATTTTCTACAGCACTGTTATTCAACTTCGACAAGTTTGCTGTCATGTCTTGGTTGGCAAGCATGCTGATCAGATTTGTGAAGATGCGGCGACCTTTTTGGTCAATAACCAGAAGGAAGATTTGCGTCGCCTATTTTCTCTATTCTCAGAGTTGACCAACGAAAATGCACTTATGTCTTTTAAGGTACTTGTCTCCCGAGTCCAAGTCATATTTTTGTTTGTGGTCTTTATCTGGATTGCCGAACTGACTACGTGTCAATACAGAATATCCTGAAGAAGTACATTGAGCGGAGCGGTCTTGAGGTCGTGCAAAAATTCCAGCAGGAAGATGCGACTAAGAATCCAGAGAGATACATTGAAGCTCTGATGAAAGTTCGCAACAAGTACTTTGACCTGATCAAAGATGCATTTGGCTTTCACCCGCTGATGCGGACCGCGCTTGATCAGGTTTTTTCTTGTCGTTGGTGACGTTCATCTTGTCATCGTTACGTTCACTACTTATGACGGAATGAAAAACCGCTTTCCCTTTCAGGCATGCCGGACATTTGCAAATTCCCACCCGCGACTTCCTGAATTATTAGCAAAGTACACTCACTATCTGATGTCACATGAGAATAAATGCGGAGCTAGTCGAGCACTGCTTTTGCCAGGATTACCACGATCGACGCTTAGTTTGGATGATATGTTGGAGCAAAAAATTGAAAACATCAGTGTGGTATTTTGTCTCATCGATGACAAAGACGTTTTCAAGAAATACTACTCGAAGTTTTTGGCAAAGCGGCTTATCAAAGGTGAATTAAGACCTACGTTATTGGTAGTTTATCCTATATGGCGCACTGGGAGTTTGTTGTTGATTTAGTAATTCTCTGGTTGTCCTCCACTGTTTTGTACAGGCACTTCTGTGTCAAGTGATATGGAAGTGTTGCTGATTCTCAAGCTGCGCGATATTTGCGGGTGTGATTTTGTTTCAAAATTGCAGAAGATGCTAAAGGACAAAATGCTAAGCAAGGTGCTATTGTTTTCATGCTTGCTTGTCTAGCTGTGGTGTAACGCTAATGTATAATAACAATGGCAGGAGTTATTGCATTCGTTCTCTGCTTGGCTGGAAGAGAAAGATACCGAGCTGCGCTCTGAGGACGCGTCTAACGCTTCTGCTATTGAGCTCCACCACACGGTAACGTATTATTGCGACGTTCTTACGGCTGGAGCTTGGCCTATATCAAGTGCAGCTGCAGAGCACAAGATTATTCTGCCGCCTGCCTTTGAAGCTCATACCCGCCTGTTCACAAAGTTTTACACCGGAAGGAGCACCGGTCGGAAACTGCTATGGGTTCACAATCTTTCGTTTGGGATGATACAAAGTCACTGCTTTGAAAAGCGCTACGAGTTTTTGCTGAGCTTTTACCAGATATTGGTTCTCCTGCAGGTAATAAGTATTTTTCTTGTTTAACTATATCGATGAAATGATAATCAGGTTAACGTAAGCTAATCGCCGCTGCTTAGTTCAATACAGCAACGGAAATTGCACGATCCGACATGGTCCGATTAACCAATATCCCAGAAAAAGATTGTACACACCACATGGCTAGCCTCGTTAAGGTCTGTTCATACTCGTAATAAGCTATACATCATATTTGCTAACGGTTATATGTTACATTGCAGTTGAAATTGCTTACTTCAAACGGAGCTATTGAGAACCCGACGTATGCAATCAATTTCGGATTTACCAGTCGTAAACTTCGACTTTCCGTAAGGCGTCAACATTTTGTTTGTTTTTTCAACGTGTACTTATACTTCAATGACTGTAACCAGGCTGTTCCAAACACTCCAGTCGAATCGCCGAAGACTGTTAAGGTTACACCCCGTGAGGTTGCAGAAGACCGCAAGATGTCGCTGCAAGCAGCAATCGTGCGTGTTCTTAAGACACGTCGGGACATTCATCAAGCACAACTGGTTAATGAAGTAATTCAGATGCTTGTCAATCAGTTTGTACCTACAGCCACGGCCATTAAGCAAAACGTAGAAATTCTTATCCAGAAAGAGTACTTGCGCCGCCACGATGACGACCAAGCAAGGTTTCTTTACGTGGCGTAAGCTATGAAATTTAAAAAGCGTGAAAATGATATATCTCGGCCAATTTTAGCAACCAAAAGATTCAAAACCTATACACAAGTGCATTCGTCTAGCACACATGCAGCGTACACTTTCCGTAGTTGCTACAAACGAATATTGACCTAGAAGAAGTCGACGTCTCGCTTGCCACTTTCGACAGTCCAGTCCGATGCCATTCGGTCACTACCGCATCAAGATGAAGTGTAATTAAGAATGACTAAAACCTCGAACGTCTGTGCGTCCTCTCGAATATTGCTTGAGTTTTTAAGTGACGCCCGAATCTTCAAATCATTTTTTGTATAGAAAGTAAAACTCTGGCTCCACGTCCCGTCAGAGCTGTTTCTTCTGTGACTTCCTGCTCTCCAGTACATTCCATGCAGCTTGTACTACACATTGCACTGTTCATACACTAAACAAAATATCAGTTTCAACACGATGCTGATTGCTGAGGCAAAAAGCTTCAGTTGTAAAAAAGGTCAGCCTTAGTTTTTCGTTCCAATCAACTGACCGGCTTGATACGCGTCACTTCCTAATCTCGTCTCTAACCCCTTTTATTTTAGCTTATTTGATGATACATACATGCATAAACACTAATAGTTGTATGAGAATGAGCTTTTTGTCCCTCCCGCACCTGACTGACTGATTTAAACGTACGATAATGTACCGTATCATACCCAGCGGTTGGAGATATGTATCCCTTTGATGCCATTGCCTTATTCGCATTTGCCTTCTACCACTACAGCAGTCCAAGCACAATCACGCGCCTTCAGCCCGCCATTATGTGTGGGTCTCTTGCTATCTGCCTATCGGGTACTAGTTCTCGTGCCAGGCCATCAGACGTCGTCAGGTCGACTGGCTTGCCCCCATCTGGCCGATATGAAGCGTCCGCCAAGAGGCGGTTAAAAGGATCCAAGCACGCTAACGACGGCGAAGATGAAAGGGGGTTGTGGCTACTGCGCTCAAATCGATCGCAGCGGTTGGCATGAGCTCTCAGACTGAAGCTGAACTCCAGGCGGCCAATGCGGTACGTGTGACCCATGGACTCAAATCCATACCGGACGATATTCCTCTAGACGAGAATTTCATGAAGCTGGATTATTGCATTAAGACAAAGGTTTATTAAGGAACCTGATTTGAAGAAGTGGACTGAGCTCAAGACTTGGGAAACGTTCCATAAGAGCGAAACTTCTCTCTCTCAGTTTCTTGTTACTAACTAAACAACTTTGAAGAGCTGCAAATGTTCATTACTGCTGCGAAGAATCTCCGTCGTGGTAATGCTTCAGAACTCAAAGAAATTGCAAAAACTGCAGAAATCGCAGAAACCAAGGCAGTCGCCGGAGGCGTAAAGTCTTGGCTAATGGAACACCATTCATTTTATTTTTTATGAAAAAGTTGATTCACAATTACAATATGTTGCAGCTTACAAAGAACTCAAATTTGCTCAATTGGATCGTCTACATGACCCACTACAACAAGATGTACCCTGAAAAGCAATTTACGGTCTTGGACACAACTAATAATTTCTACAATGACGAAGATCTGGCAAAGCACTTTGAAATGATAAGTCAAAAGTGGACGACCGATCAAAAACTACCTGAAGACATAGAGAATGGCTACGTACGGCAACACCTCCTGACGACGTCTTTACCAAGCTTGGCCTTGATATATAAGATTATCCTTTTTTCTATACGGGTGGGCTACTTGATGCAATTAAGAAGATGGATAACTTTTTCGAACGCAACACCAATTTGCAGATACCTTTTCTCAAGCTTTTTCCGTACGATGGTAAAAAACTAGTCGATATGGTGCTTTTTGGGTCGGTCCGGCAGCCACAAGAAAATACCGTCCGAAATCGAGTGCTCGCGGAGCTATATCAGGTATGGATTGTTAAAGAATATTCTCCAGCCACAGTTTATCCACTTTTTGGCCTTGACAAAGACGCAGGTTAATTTGTTCTGGGCCGTTCCTATGAAGAGCTGGGAAGGTTATGTGGACGCTTACAATGACGCACTAAAACCGAGCCCACCAGTAACAGCTCTATCGGAACTAAGGAAGATACATGGCAGCAAGACCATTGATGCTATGTATAAGATGGCATCGAAGAATGACATGAGTATCCGCCGCATATCAAAAGCGATGCAGAAGAGACGTAAGACCAACTAACTAGATCCAAAAAATGATAAAGATGCAGGCTAGGAGTTTATTTTCGAGCACGGACAAGTTCCCTTCGACATGCCGCAATCTTTGGGCACATGAAAAAAAGTTCCGTGGACGCCATACAACTGCTTTGATTGAAACGGCAATAAGGCAGTATCTACAATGCAAGCTGAGGCTAGATACTGCAAACCTATGTGTTAATAGCAACAACCTTATCGTTTGCCATGTATAAGCGTGTATAGTCATCAAGAGGTATCTTCAGTAATATGCAGTTCTTGTCTTTGACAGTATCTTCCAGCTCACGGTGACGTTGAAGCTTTTAGTAAACAAATGCTCAGTTAGGAAAATGAAGCATGACGCTTTCTCTTGATTTAGAACAATCAGCTTTCTTAACTCCGTCCGTCGCTAATCGAAACAAGTTACCATCATAATTGCATCAGTCGTACACATATTGTGCACATATGTAAAAGGGTGTAGCACCTCTCACTCGATGATTCACCTCCTACAGCCAGCTTCTTTCGGCTTTCTGTACGGTTTCTGCTTCACTTCTGTATGCAAGAATAGTTTTTCAAAAACACAACTATAATACTTTGTCCTATCATCACTGCAAGCATGCAAACCATATTGGTGCTAAAAGCTAGCTCAAGAGATACGCACAACATAAGAAAAAATGCATCCACCATGTGAGCTTCTCCAGATGAAGACAGATTTTAGTATGTAAGATCAAAATTTAAGGTCATGACAGTTGCCAGAATTCGTTGTATTCTCCGGCATGAGTTGCTTGTACTTGCACCATTGCTGCCTTCTTGACCTGCTTTCTGTACTAAGCCGCACCATAAGTTTTTGTCGCTTGGACTTACTATACTTACTATTAGCAATCACGACAAATCTGTGTGCTAATACTAATAAGCCAAAAATGTGCATGAATTGTATTCATATAAAATTGTTCCTGCTACAATTATGAATTATTGTATAAATACTACGTTTCTTATCCAATAATTTTTGAAATCAAATTCATTCGACTTTTTTAGAAATACATCATCATCACAAACGTTTCTATCATAAGAGTCTCCATCCTCAACGACGCAATTATTGCCCCATGCAACGTACAACAAGCTTCAGAGCTCTTTCAGATGCTGTTGCACTGCTGCTGGGTCGAAACAGTGGGTTAAAAGTAATGCTCACGAACTTGTCTGTACGAAGTTTCGAGGAGCTTTGTTAAGCGGCGGCTGCAGTAGACGACACCATGACGCCACTAGATTGGCCTGAAGCGTTCTGTAGCACACCTAATGGTATATTTGCTGCTGCTATTGAGATTCCAGTGTTTTCCAATGCACCGAATGCCGATGGTAGTGATATAAATACGAGTTTTTTTGTTGAAAAGTTTCGATTGGAAGAGCGGAAAAGCACATCGAAGTGGGAAGCTCAGGAACAAAAGGTATGGTGGATGAAAATAAACAGGATGAGGCTGTAGAAAAGATAGGGTCAATGAATCGTGTAGGCGACGAAAGCTGCGTGTTGAGGATGTACTGGATCGCCTCGAGGCACTCGCTTGTTGCTGATTACAACAAGTTTGGGTAGGTGCTTTAGTCATGCATGATACAATGTTTTTGTGGGTATTTTTGTTGGGAAGTCACTGTAATTTTGTCCCACGATACATTTACATTGCTGCATGTGCGACCGGAGAGTCTGCTCCCGAGATGATTTGTATTCTGGAATTCCGCATGAACAATTGTCCTGACAATGACTTTCTGTGGCTGCAAGCGAGGAGAGCAAAATTACGACGCTCCGGTTGGAGTTCTGGTTCAAAGTATGCACCGATTCTCGCCTACGGTTGGATCGAGGTACAGATTTATGGATTCCCTTGGATGTAAAGTGCAAAGTGTCGAAGCGGAAGAGGA